CTTGAACATAAGACCAAAAAAATCATGAGTCAGTCAGTAAGAGTATGTTCCTTCCTAACTAGGAGCTCAGATTTCAGGCATATGATCTGCTTTGGCTTTTGTATAGCTTGAACAAACTTACATTAAGTGACAAGTGATGTCATATATCTGAAGGACATAAATGTCAATATGCGATGTATGGTTTATACAGCCACAGACTCAAAAAAAGAACTGTAGTAGGGAAACTGAAGTGATTATTATTTCAGTAACCCAGAGAATCTCCATCCCCCATCTATCTTGGCAGGTGCTGCATATGCTCTGCACTTTTCAGAATCAGGACTCTATAGCCCAGTTACTGTAAGGACAGAAACACAACCTGAGCAGTTTCCTCCTTTAGGTAGAGAAAGATTTACTCAAAATGTTTGTGAAAAAATGTCTTGGATATTTTCTGCCTTCAAGAAATGAACAAAGTAATCTGTAAGGATGCAAAAATGACTCACTACTCATTAGCTGTGGGATTCTGTAGCATCTGGAGGCTGGGAGCTGTTTGTGTAACCAGTTAAGCCTACCACAACCAAATGAGCACAGGGTCAGAGCTGGAGGTTCAGAAACCATCAGAAAAAACAGAGGTTTGCTGTTCATGCCAGGCTGTGTTACTTTATGATATTATTTCCACCAATACATATGAGGTGATCTCTCTCAGCCCTTTCTAGCCTCTTCCACCCTAGTCCTCAGTTCCAACCTCTCAGAGAATGGTTTGTGTGACCCACAAGAGATGAAAACAGGGGGATGATCATGATGATCCTCCACCTCCACAGGAAGGGACAAACCTGTCAGTATGGTGTGTACAGTTTACACTTGAGACAAGACTTGAAATTATGACTAAGGGCTCCCACTCATGTAAGTCTCTCCAGCTTTCACCTTCTATACTCGCAGCTGCCCAGGAAGCTATTGCCTTCTGAGATCATCTCAGACAAAACACACCAACACAAAACTGGTTTTTGCCCAGACCACACTACAACAATTTCTCCCAACAATGATTTTATCCAACTCAATCTAAAAAAATGACCTTTTATTTTAAAGTGCATCCAGTACCTTCCTTAATGTTACATCCAAAGCAAGGATGTGTTATAGAGCGGGTTTTGAAGACCACTTTCTAAGTTAAATTAGCACTTTTAATACAAGCACGTACCAACGAAACAGTGGAAACCCTGTATTTGTGGGGAGAAGTTAAGACTGTTAAGAGAAAATAAAAAAAATATTCTTTAAATTTCACCAATATGCAAACTGGTATAAGAAAATAATAAAACCACAGCTATTTAAGAGACTAGGACACTAGCATAACTGGATGCAGAAAGTAAACTGACACACATGCTTATCACTGTAATGCTTAACCTCTTGGTTAATCAATAGAGTGGCTGAAACTATAAATCAAAGTGTCACCACTCCAGATGCACAAATAGACAGATTCTGATAACGGAACTGCTTCTCTGGTCTGCAGTTTCCTGCCATACTTTATAGTTCAGGGTTGCTTGAGCGAAGTGGACTGATACAGTGGGAATAGGAATGCTTCATCTCAAAGGCAGCTGTATTTTTAAATATATTTTTTAGCACTTCCCAATGTATTTGCCTGTGTCAGGAGACTTAAATATTTAAACAGGGTGACAAAGTTCATTTCAACCTCAATGACAGTCAAACCCCTTGACATGCCCCTTTTGTAATGTGAGCAGAATTTTCTTCATAGAAATAGCCTACCTCAAAGGACCGAGGGAGAGAAAAAAACTTCTGTGCCAACTTTTAAAACCCTGAAAGTCTCTGCAATCTCTCACCTTTACCTCCTTACTTACCCCACCCGTTTCCTAATGATAACCATTTATTTCTTATTTTGTTTTATATTTATGTCTGGAAAACTGGGTGCCCCCTTTGTGGGTTAACAGAGGGCAGGCACTGCCGGCCTCTGAAGCCCTCTCAGTCGGATCTCAGGCCTAAACCCTCCCAGCGCAGCCCGGGCTGCCGAGCTCCTCTCCGGAGGCGTGTGCCTGTCCTCCGGCAGATCCGGGGATGAGCAAGCGCCTTTAAAATGTGACAGAACAGGAAACGCGGACTCGCTCCCTCACCCAGCGCGGCCCCCGGGGCTCCAGCGGGGGCCCGGTCACCCCACACGGCGCCACCTCGTGTCCCGCCTCGGGAGCAGCACGGCAGGCCCTGCCTGTCCCGCGCTCCTCCCGCTCCTCGCCTTCCCAGCCAGACGGGGTAATCCATGGCCATCCGGGCTTTCCTGGGCCCATTCATGCCCGAGCTAACGCTGCTCTCGGGCGTGCGCTGTGGGTTTGACAAGAGGCAGACACAACCCCAGAGTTGGTGCACGTTAACGTAGCTTTTCTAGCTGAAACACCGAGGGGAAGGCAGGGCGGTGCAGCCAGGAAAGCTCTTACTTGGGTAGGAAAAGGTAATGGTTGTCCTCAGTAAACTGCTTGGCTCTAATCACAGCGCTGTCACTGAGAGGAGAGCCAGGACAGAGCTCTCACAAGCCACATCCTTGCACCATCCCTTATTCTGAGTTAATTCCCTGTATCACACCCTACTGTCACGGAGTTGTGGACCTGTGGACACCCCCAGGTACTCTGTGAGCAGACACAGATACGCAAGCAAAGGGAAAGCTCCCCCTGTTCTTTCTGCCACTGTCAGGGGAAAGGGAAGGACTATAGCCTTATCTCAGAAAAGACCACTCAGAGGACAGAAAAGGAATTTGTTACATGAAATACACTTTATGCTGAGTAATGCAAAGGTGTGAAAAACGTAGTGTATTTTGCATGGAGAGTTAGAAGCAACTACGCTGACAAATATTAACTGCAAGGGGAAGTAACACCTCAAGAATGGCTCAGTTAGAAAGTTTAATCTGCTGAAAGGACCGATTTGGGTTTTTTTTGGTTTTTTTTGTGTTTTGGGTTTTTTTTCCCAGTAACAAGCAGTGGTACGTGGAGGGGCTGAGAGGAACAGGCAGGATGAGAAGTGCCTGGAGCTCCCTTCTTGCTGTTTATCTTTTCTCACAGCAGGGACCCATGTGCAAACCCCAGATCAGGTGTGGAAAGGAAACAGAAACCAACCCGTTCCCAAGCACACCCAAGTGCTTGCAGCCCAGTTCTTCATATGATGAATTGAGAAGTGTAAGGAAATGCGAAAATCATGCCCCATCCTCTTGCAGAGTGCTGCAGTCCAGTAACCTACCAGACCTGTTTTTCTGGTGTGAAAGATGGCTTCCCACACACTGCATGGCTAACATGGGAGTCCCCCTGTTCCTATGTCTTCAAACAGCAGCATGGCTGAAGCATTTGATTACCCACGACCATTTGTGTCCACCGTGGCCTTCTATTCTTCCTTCCTCCTAGATCCTTCTTTCCATCATCAGCCAAAATGGACATGGTCTTCCTCACAGTGGACAAGATTTTAATGGTGTCTAGTTGGAAATGAGGAAGTCCATGCCTCCCAGCCACACAGTGTATTACTGGCCATGGAAGTGAGGGGGCAGCAGAAAGTACCTACCAGGAAATTCAGCTTCCCGTGCAGGCATAGGAAATGTGAAGAATTTAGGTTTCTCCTTCCCCCTCCACTTCCCCCTCCATTCCCCCCTCCACTTCCTTCCCTCTCCACTTATCCTATGCAGCAACGGTGTGGCTAAACAAGAACAAGAGGATCTTGTTATTCCAACACACTACTCTAGAAACAAAGCAAGTCTGACTTGTTTCTACCTCTCCCATACTGCAAATAGTTCAAAGACCATATCAGTCTCTGCCTTTCCATCATGCTTGTGGGGATGCTTACCAAAGCAATGACTGAAGCAGCTCAGCCTGAAGAAATGCTTCAAAACGAAAAAAATTGTATCCATTGTATTGCCTCATGGAGCTGTTGGAATAAGCATGAAGACAGCAGTCTTCAGCCAGTTTTTCCAAGACAAAATGCCTGCGAGTCTCCATCAGTCACAGTAAATAAGAAAAATGTTCCTATCATTCTTGTGTGTGATACAGAGACATGGGCTTTAAGATCCTGCTTGGTGACTCCCAGCCTCAGCTTGGTGTCCTGCAAGCCTCACAGAGCCTCAGCCTACCACCTGCAAAAAGCAGCTTCCATGCCTAAGACAGCAAGTAACCAAAAGACTGTGACACACTGACATAGCTAAAAGAGAGCCTATTAAAGCACTAGAGCTAGAAATTCCCCTGCTACCCTCAGGGAAGGAGCCCTATAGAGGACGTCTGGTTCTGAGGGATGGCGACCACCCAGGCTGGCACAGCAAGCTGGCACAGGGCAGCTACGTCAACGTGGCACTATGCCCAGCTCATCAGCTCTTCTGAGAGTTTCTGCACTGCCCTGGGTCATGTCTTTCTCACAAAGATTTTACAGGGATGTCATAACTATACATCCTCCCATATGCACAGTCAAGAATTAGAGCTTTCCTAATCCCACATAATTATTAACATGAGAGCAATTAGATAGAAAGATCAAATAGGTTGTTATTAAAAGACTGATGAAGAGCATAAAACGCTACCAACTGGCATAAGAAATCTTGATTCAAGAATAGTAAAACCCATAACCTATGGAGTGTTTGCTTTATATCATATGATTTATATGCTATGGGATGTATTTTTCAAATTACACCTGTCCTGTACTATGTGATAATAGTATAATTCATTATGTAGGTCTCCAGGTAAACAAGAAGTGACACCTAGCATGGCTGGCTTTTGCCTAATGCCACATTTATATGATCAGACTTTAGAATATTATTTTAAGTTCAGCTAAAATACTACTTGGAGATTCTGATTTCTAGCTGATTTTTTTTCCATCATTGAACTGATAAAGTAAGCTATAATGAGAACTTTCTAGATGATAGATGTCATTCTCCTGAGTGGTGCTATTAGCACTTGTCCAGTTTCAGGAATATATATTAAAGAAAAAAAAAGACACACATATGGCTTGGTATAATTACGTAGCCCTTCAGAGTAAAAGAACTATTTCAAAAAACACAGTTTCATAAAGCTATGTTTATCTCCTTTTAGTTTCTATTACTTTTTCCAAGTCTGTCAGCTTTACATAGAATTTTACATTTTGTCAGATTAAGTTGATAAGACTAATTTCACAGGAATAAAGGCCAAGATTCATAAACTACAATAACAAGCCAACAACATGCCTGTGTCTGTGAATGGGAAGGGGGGTAAGAAAAAGGCCTTATTTTGGTAGGCAAACAGATTTCAGTTTGCGTTTCACAAGGGATTATCATCAGTCTTGAGCAAACTCAATGTCTGTGAACATCTTACATTATTCTTATGATCCACAGGTTTTGCAGAGCTAATGTGACTTTGCAGACATTTCTTTAATGCAATTTAAACCTTACTTAGCAGGTCAGAAAATAACACCCAGCTACACAACATGTCAGATATTTCTTTGGACCATGGGCAGGATGTATTACTAGTTTTTCTTTCAGATCTTCTTCCCATGTTATCTAATCCATTCTTCACACTATGTTCATATTTGTTTTCCCATGCTGCTTTCTTCTCTTCTGCTTCCCTTATTTTATTATTAGGTATTATTCTATGCGATCTTCTGAAAAGAACAAGAAACTAATACTATTTCATGATTAGAAATGCTCTTTGAATGGGCTTGTAATGAGGTAAAATGAATTCACCCATCTCTAGTCATCTTGTATACAATATTCTGCTAATAATGAGAAATACCTTGACAGAATCCCCTTAATTAAAACATTCAACAAACTGAAGAGCCTGTAGTAGCTGACTTTATGGATTTACACAGTATGTAACTTAAGCAGCGGCTGAGTCAAATTCTAGGGTAAGTTGCTGTGATTTATGCTTTCTTTAGCGCAAAAGTATTTTACACTGTCTTGGCTCTCTTTTAGTGCACTTAAACACCTTCAGACTTACTTAATTACCCAGAATAATTTTGATTCACAATCACTGACTAATGTGTGAGTTACATTCTTGTCCCTTTATATGAATTCTCCACCCTTAATCTATTTTACTATAAAAAGCTCCAACAACGTTAAGGTGTGATTCACAGGATGTGCTGTTGTTACATGAATGAACTCCTAGCGAATAGTGCAAATATTAAAGAATTGTTACTCTGTTGTAAGGAACTGATTACAATTTCTTTTCTTTGCCAGCAATGGTGGGTTTTGCAGCTCTTTTCATGACACCTTTTTTAAAAGTGAAGACATACAAAAAAATACTGACAGAAACTTACTTTCCCAGTGAAAGCTGCTACAGCTCCTCTGTGGGCAAAGAGATTTTCATTTAATAGAAAAACTCCAAAAGAAAGGGAGACATTGTAAATAAACAAACCAAACCTACTATTTCACTGTAATACTAAATGGCCTTTAACAATAGGTGGTGTAAAATCAAGCCAGAAGCACAAGCCTGCCAAAACATATAGCAGCCACTGTTTGTAAAAGTGAAAAGAAAACTAGCACACTGAGAAAGGAAAAACACAGCTTTGATGTCAACCCTTCTGCAGACTTCTCTGTAGCTGTAACAGTTGCTCTTCCCATTTTCCAGAGAGGTGTGATGGACAGTGAGGAATGGGAGAGTGCCTGGAGTAAGTGCTGCATCTGTTTGAAGCTGCAGGCAGTAGCTGGGCTAGGTTCAGATGAGTTCGTTGATGGTAATTCTTGAAATGACTTATTCTTGGTGGTGTACTCTGATTAACTCTTTGAAAAAAGTTACATTTAGATTTTATGAGGCAGGAACTGACAGTCATTCTGCAATAGTGTAGAAGTTTATAGTTTACTCAGCAAAAGCTTGCATGCTGGCATATTTTAGAAAGGTTGGTCACCTCAGTACCTGATAACCCATTCTTGCTGTATTCTCTTAGTTCTCCGGAACGGAAATTAATTGCATAGTTTCAGAGTTTGAATTTCACTTATTATTCGCTGTATTCGTAGAATCATGATCTGAGCAAGGTCTTCACTATGTAGTTAAGAGCAGTTATGAACTTGCAACACATCTTCTGTCTCTAACGCAGCAAACTCACCTAATTTACTAAGCACTTACCAACGTAAACCACACACCGACTGACTCAAAAGATAGGGTCTTTGTCTTGAGGAACTGACACAACTGATCAGAAGCCTTCAGATGCCAAGGGAAGACCCTTACTGGCCTCAACAGACTGTGGATCAAGTTGTAGTTTCAAACATGCTGGAATAAAAGACGGTGATGAAAAAGAGGGATAGTGATTAGTTCTGTAACCTTAATATAGCACATTAAACTTTTATAGATGCACAGTGTAAAATCATTAAAAGCACATTTTTACACATATGTTTCAAGGATCAAATTTCATTTATAGTTCCTGAAGAAATATAACCACTAGAAAAGACACACAGCATAATCTTAGTCTGCAAGGAATCAAAAAGCTGCTTATAATAGCATGTGTCAGAGAAGAGCTTGTTAGTTTTGTGAGGAAGACAAGTGATGCACCCGTGGTAACAGGTCGGTCACGGTCTGGTCTTACCTTGACCAGACTGCAGCTATATCCTCACCTCTACCCTTCTCCTGCATTACTTGGGTTGTACATGTTCTCGTTGATGTTAAACTTACATTCCCAGAGGCCTGCTCTATGCATTGAGGAACATGTTTTACATGTCTTTTCCATTATATTTGGGAATTTAGGAAGTGAATAATATTCTTGCCATGATATGCCACATGCCCAGATCCTTGTTTTGCCAGTTGGTAGTAAATGTAGATCACTTAGCACAACGTACTTCACCTGCCACAGAACATAAATCTGGCTGAGCCACTTCCACTGCACTGTGCCGGAAATGGTAGACAGTGTATCTGTATATAGCATGTGTATATAGTATAGCAATAGGAACCAGAACAGATCTAGCTGGTTTTGTTGCTGTTGTGATGATGTTGCTAGCTTGTGAAAGTTATCTTGGGAAAACTCTCTTTGAATAATTTCTATGGTGAACCACAACCACTAGGCTTGGAAAATGTTTAGGTGGTACAGACCAGCATTTCTCAGCATTGCAGTGGCTACTAAGGTAATGTTTAATTACCAGCATTCATTTCCACTTACATGAGTGAGGAATCGGCCAAAATGGAGGTAACAGTAAAGAAATATTCACAGTTAAGTCTAATTGTTATTTGGTGTCAAATTAAAAGTATGGCAGTGGTACAACACAAGGAGGCCTTTGGTTTTTCCAAAATCAGGCTCTCCGATTTAAAAAGGCTGAAAAAAGTGTAGGCTCAGAAATACTTGCAGAAAGTTAAGAAAATGCTGGAATGTTTGCATATATGTGAGGAACTACTTAGTTGTCAAAATTAACTGATAGTCTGACTTTTAAAAGTAATGAACTATGTGCATATTTACATGTTCTTTTCATGGAGAAACAGAAAGCATCACCTTCCTGTGAATACCTACTAGCTGTAAGTAGTTTCAAGTGTCATCAACGCTTAGTAAAACTGAAGTTTCTCCAATGTTTTTCAGCTTCATTTAAAGCCATCCTCCAGGCTCTTATGTCTTCTACAGTGAATAAATCTTGTGCTGTTCCTTTGTGAGAAGTTCTTTCTCTATTGTGCTTCCCATAAGAATGACAATAAAAGTACTTTATGTATCCAAAGTCACATATACAATTTATTAGAAAGAACATACCAGGAAAAAAAAAAAAAAAAAGAAAAAAAGAAAAAAGCAGTGTAACAGCCAGCTGTTTGTACCCACTATGTGCAAAAGGAAAGGGACCTATAAGCAGATATTTTGACTGCTTCATAGGTTGCTTGTCCTGTGATGCTCACCACTGTTGCCATATATGTTGTTGGTTAAGACATCCTTATGAGTTTTACTGTAAAATTTCTCCTCCAAATACCTGTGAAGGGCAAATAGTGATTAATTCAGTACCTTTGAGAGGTGGAAACCCTGAGGCCTCATCAAAATTAGTCTTGGTGACCAATACCTGAAGACTTTGATTAAAATATGCTTTTCCGAGACCCACACTGCAAAGCAGCACTAAAGTGAAGGATTTTCTTTCATTCTTGCTCTTATTGCTAAAAGTTATACAGATAAAATGAGTTACAGTGTGATGAGCTGGCTACTTTGTGATTCTTTCCCAGTAACCACAGAAAAACTTTATCTGACCTTGTAGGTGTGAGGAGAGAGCTGTGAAAAAGCACGTATCACTTATGGTAGAGACTGCATCCTGCCTGCAAAAAGGTTAATGAAAGTAGAGCCTAGGCACTAACCTGCCCTCCGTGGTTATCTCAGCTGGTGGTCATTTTATGGGAAGGAATCCTTGTTTTGGAGAAGAATTTTGGTGAAAAATTATTAGGGAAGGATGTAAATTGTCATTAAATGATACAGAGGAGTTGGCAATGGAGAAATTTTCTATTTCCTCCCCACTTTCCCACTCCCCACTTCACAGTTTACCTCCCTCTGGTCGTGCCGACACAACCAGATCTTGGGATGTGCGATAAACCAGATCTCTCAAATGATCAAAGTAAAAATAACTCTTCTGACTATCTTACAACTGAAGTATTACCCTTGCAGAGCTCTTGAAGACTAATTTTAATGTTTATTTTATTTAAATTGAATAAGACAAAAATTATTGTCTTATCAGAAAAACTACTCTTAAGCATTATAAAGCAGTGCATCATGCCTTTTTCAGTTCATAGATTTTTTTATAGCCAGAAGGGACTAAACATTATGAAGATGATTTCAAGTTCATGGAGAATAAATGAATTGAATTTTGAGTGAGAAGGAAAAATTGACACCCTAAACTTACAACTATATTGGCAGGCTACCTAAAAATGTAAGACTGCTTATTTTAAAAAGAGAAAGAGAGTGAGAGCTAACCTTAATAACAAGAAAACATGCAAGATCAAGTGTAAGTTTTGGAAAGATAAATTTATCCCACTTACATATTACTGCTGCTTGCTAAAGCTATCTCTACCTAGTTTAAATAGACTGTTGAGAAAACCTGCTAAATAGTAGACATAAAAAAGTGTGCATCTCATACAAGCAGAGAACAAGAGAATAAGCAGATTACCTAATAATCAATGTCTGTCTAAATGCTTGGCAAGGATAACTTTAAAAACCAGTGCTCAACGTTATGAAAAAGAGAAGAGATGGAAGGATTATGAAACAGCTCCTTCAATAAAATGGCAGTGGCATTTAGTTCCTAAATTATTTGTATAACATCCACTGTAATTTAATTCTGTTACTTTCACAAAATGCATATTATGCTATTTATGCTAAAACACTTTCTTAAAGAGTTGCCTGTTAAAGACAAGGCAATCAGATGTTAGCAGAAAAATATCATTAAAAGTTTGGCCTTACCAGTGCCCTGATAGAAAGTGTAGCCTCAGAGGGGCTTAACCTGAGTATCACAACTTTCTGCTTTCTCTCTAGTATACTTTCCTGGATTAGAGAGCACAGTTACAAAACATTATTCAAGGAAATTTAATTTTGATTCCTGCAGCTGAGAAAGCTTCAGCATCATTTTCTCATCTGCTTCTCCATTTCACTTACTTGGACAACCTTCTCTCCTCTGCTCCAGTTGAAACAACCTTTCACCAGCACCTTTCCAACCATCTTTTGCTTTCACATTCATTGTAATCAGATGGTGTGATGTATTATTGGCCTGTTTATGGTTTAGAGCCTCTCTTCCCACACAGTAGGCAGCCGGGGCTTCTTTGGCTATAGAAAATTAGTGATGAGAGAAGCTCCACCATTTTCTAGAAAGATCCTAGAAGAAGAGGAAAAGATGTTCTATATCTTTCAAGACAGAAAATAAGCCCAGATTTATTGAACCCTTCTAAACTGCAGGAAATTTCATAAGCCTACCAGACCTTACAGTAACAGAGGAGCATAGAAGAGCTTATCTACAATACAATATGGCAACTAAAATACGTCACTTGTTTAAGATTCTGACAGTTCAGCCTTTTCTGGAAGAGAAATATAACTTTTGAAAATGTTAGTGCCATTTGAAAATCATTTATTGCTGAGCTCTAATAATAATTTTTTCTTTAGAGTGTCACTTTACTCTTTGCATATTCATTAGGGTCTTGTTTTCATCCATAGCTTCTAAGACCTAATCCAACATGAAAAAAAAAAGTATTTAAATTAAACAAAATCAAACTGAGATTAGAGCACTTGTGTCTTCTGCAAACTCATGGCCTTCTGATGTGAATATGGACTTGTTCTACTAAGCTCTATGTGGCAGATACCTTGGCAGTATTTTTTTCCCACATCCATATTTACCAAGAATATTTACAAAATGCTAATATAATCTGAAACATTGGAAAGGAAAATAAAATAAAGAGGAAATTTACAAAGGGATAATTTTCATTGCAATGGACTTTATTAAAAAAAAAAAAAAAAGTTGAATTTTAACACTTGCTATTTTAACAACAATATTCCAGGCCTTTTGTGGCCTCATTGTTACAGTTTGGAGAAAGACAAGAGAACAACTGGATGAAAAAGATTTACAACACCTTTTCCACTGTTAGTTACATCTATGTAATTATAGTAAAGCACTGAGTGGGTACTACTTTGCCATGCACCTGAAGAATTTTTGGCTTGCCATTGCACTGATAGTTTAATAACACAGCCCCTACTGTGACTGACAGTTGGTTTTGGACTAAATCACATAAAATTGAATAGGAGATGGTGGCTATTGGTTAGTTCAGCCAAAGTCTGTTTGGCAGAGCATAGTAGCCTCCATGAAGCTGTGCATTATTGCACAACTCCACGCGATAGTGCTCTCTGCAGCACAGTCTTACCCTTAGCTTGGCTACTAAGGGTAACCAAAGGCAATAGTGTAGAAAAGCAGAGAATCACTGAAAATGTTTTCTGTAGCTGCAAGAAAGATTAGAGGGATGCCAAACACATCGGTATGGAAGATGACCTGACAGAACCAGTAATTAAAATGATTCAGTCTTCTTAGAAAAGTTGTTCCTGGGCTAAAAGCTCAAACCTCAGCTCACTCAAAAGAAAATTATTGTAGAGCATCACTTCTATATTTAACACATTGGAAAGGCAAAATGACTTAATTAATACTGTTACTTCAATACTTTTATCTGGTTGGTTTATTTATTATTTTCCAATAGCCAGCTCATTGCCATCCCAATCTGCAAACTACTTAAATGGAAAGCATTTAAGTCTGGTGATTGGAAAAGAAGCAAATACCATATTTGTATTGAAGAAGCCTGAAAAATCTGAAGGTGATCCAAGAAATTGGATTAATGTAAGCTTCAGCTCAGAATCACAGATGAGGCCACCAGGGAGACATAACAAAATAAAACAGGAGAGTGAGAAGAGACTGGATGGAAACATAAGTCCTTGCACATTGCCTCTGCCAGCAGAGCCCAGCATTGATGGGTGCTCCTGCATGAACTTTCCAAACCAAGTTTGTGCTCTTCCCAAGGGTGCTAGGACTGCAAGATTACGGCTCCCTGATGATCTGCTCAGACCCTGGGGAGACAGGAGATTGTCGTACCACCTATACAGGCATGCTTCACTCCAGGCATCTAGACAAGTCTCAATTCCAGGTAATTAAAAGTAGGAGCCCAACTTTGTTCAGAATTAAGCCATCAAGTGCTTGGAATAATTTAGGGTAGCCAAAAAATCAGCCCAAGCTTGATAGGTACAACACAGGCATTACATGAGAGCTGCAGCTGCAGGCCAGGCAGGTGACGAGGGTATCTCAAATGGCAACTGACTCCCATGTTTGAGCAACTGATCTGAGAGCCCAATTTCTCTGTATAGCCCACAGAAAGGTGTAGGCCCCTGCATCAGTTAGTTCAGGGCACTGAAATTAGACAACGTGATTACAGCCCATAGACAACATTTAGAGAGGCAGGCAGCCTTGCCCATTTGCAAATAACACATCCTCTCCTCACTGTCAGTGACCTGTCACCTCTACTATCAAGATTAAGATGGGATTGAGTCTACTGCTGAGGAATAGTGTTATCCTTTTCCCTCTGCTATCACCTGTTCTTCTCCAGGAGGGAACTTGATTGAAGTAAGGCAATGACAAAACTTTGCCTAATGCTGAATCCTGTAGCTTCACACACTTTCTGAATCCAGACTGGTGCCTCTCATCTTTCCTGTCTGGCCTCTCTCTCACTACCTAAGCAGTTCACACAGGGTGGAGAAGAGATTTGTACACAGAGGTGGGGAAAATCCCACCCCTGAAAAAATGCTAGGGTGATGAAAACCGGGCATCCGTTTTACATGGCCTCTGGCAGGTTCAAATATCCAATTCAAATGAAGCAAAATCAGGGCTGGCAGCATGAGTCTGTCTTCCATGTGAGTGTTCTTATAACCTCTAGGTTACTGCTTCTCCAGAGCTGCCTTAGAACACTTGTTTCATCCTGATATAAAGAGGGAAATTTCTGACTTTTTGGCAAGATAGTAAAACCACCCAGATACAGTCTCAAGGCATGCACCCTGTCTTCATGGGAGGTGAGCAATCCTGCTCCACACTGTTCCCTCGGGTACTGGCCCTGCTCCACAGGCTGATAAAGAGGGATAATAGGTCTATGGCCACACCTCCTTCCTTTGCCTTTTTGACATCCTGCTCCCCAAATCTGAGTGACAACAAAGGTTAGTGCCGTAGCTCTTGGGCTGCCTAGGACACCCACAGGCAGCCTGTCAGGTCCTGCATGGATGCCAGGGCTCAGCTGGGAGCAAATCCTCCACAGCATAAACAGCTTTGGAGACTCAAAAGCGCTCACTTTCACTTCCAGCCACTGGCAGCATCACCCTGGGTTACCTGAATTACTTCGGGGTCCAAAGCTTCCTTCTTACTGTGCCATCCTTCTCTTGCACGACATATTCCCTATGGGTACCGGCCAGACCTCACCTGTTGGAGGGGTAAGGAAGGAGTGGAAAATTAAACAGACATTAAGAAGGCTCACACAAATCAGAAAATGACTGCTGTAGCCAGTGCTGGCAATTGCTGCACAAACTTCCCCACACAGCACTGCCAATGGATCTCGCTTCTGACTGCGACACACCTGGTTGCTGAGAGCTCTGCTTCTCCATGCCAGGGCTGCCCACTGCACTGACTGCCTGCGACTGTGCTACACCATGCTCCGAAACAATGCGTGAGGCAGAGGGGAATTGAACAACCCCATTTACTCCACTTCTACGTGCAAAGAGCCGAATTTAGACCTATAGCTCTCAGTCCTGGTGTAGTAACCCTCCCTTCATGTCCTTACCGCATATACATGTGCTATACACCAAAGCAGGAAGTCACACTTTCCTATCTGTAGAATCCTCTACGTGATTTGCAGAACATCAGTGAGCTCATTTTAGGAAAATTCATTGCTGGAAAATGATTTTCAGTGCATGTTTTATTAATCAACACATGCCAAATCATGTCGGTAGGAGAAAAAAATAAAAATACTGAAAGAAACCCAAGCAAAAATAATAGAACAATTATCGCTTGAAGATTCTGATTGTCTATAAATTATAACTCTATTCAGCTCCATGACAATTTATGTTTTCATTTATGAAACCATTCTTGTTATTAACTTTTAGTCTTGTTTACTGGGGGAAGTAGGAATACACAAAACAGGCAAATCATTTTAAACCATGTCTTGAAAACCTAGGGTTATGGCACACAGGACATGTTTATTACCACTATTTTAGAGGACATGGTAAGTTTACAATGGGGCCTTATTTCAAAACGGAGGGGTTGGTTAGGACAAGTCAACTTACCATGACTTCAGTTCCTAATGTAAAAGTGTCAATGTGCTCAGTATATTCATAATGTGTTTATTCTCATTACTGTTTTCAATTTGTCAGTGTTTTACTGGCATGCAACCACAGAGCATAGACTGCTATTGCTGGTTAACCTTGTTATTGCAGACAAATTACAAGTCCTGACAAGAGTTTGATAACTGTGCCTACTTATTTTAAGCCATATGAGGAAAGGGTAGGAGGTTCAAAGTAAGTTATGCTTTCCTGTGTGAGTCCACATATGATCACTCAAAGTTACTGTAAATATAAAAGCAGAATTGCCTGATTGCTATTTTGTCACTGTGACACTAGACAAGAAGGTAACCAAAATCCAGAATCATACATAAGGCTAAAGGTACAAAAGCGTAAAACCCTGAAGCCTCAATCCTCTAAAGCAAACGGATGGATTTAGTCACCTGTACAGGTGATTGCAGGATGGAGGACTCATTCACTTGCATATAATCTTTCCTGGAATCTGTGTCGTAGAAGAAACAGTGACCAAACAGGTAAAGAGTGGAAAAAAATATTCTCCTTCTCCTCCTCTTCCTCCCAACATGTGTACTGCCTATTTGTCTGCCTTAGCCCCTTGTTCCATCCTGTTTTAGACTTTGATTATGAATTGCTAGGTCAGAATAATCTTTTTCCTATTAATTTAACAAGAACAAAACAGCTCGCAAAATAACATCATTCAGCCCTAATTTTCGACTTAGTCCACATATCGCTGCTAGAATGTAAATATAATCTTACTATTTGACCAAATACTCCACAGCAGCTAATAATAAATATACAGTGATGGAGAAAAAGAAATTAGAAGTTTAGGCAGTTCCTGGATGCAATTTCACAGACCATGGTAAATCAGATAACTCTTCTACAGCTTCCCAAAAAAGAGACACCTAAATAAAATTATTTTGATATTCAGAGACATTGGCCATGTGCTGTTCTTCAGAAGTGAGGATCGTGGATGTGCAGCCCTACAGTTAATAGATTCATTTCCTGTTTACATTTTGTCACCTAAATTAGTAAATTAGAAAGCCACCAAAGACTTCCCCCCAAAAATTTAAAGAAATAAAATAATTAGAAAAGGAAAAGTCATTGATCTTTAACAAGCATCTGCCAGTGGCCATTTGCACATCAATTCTGATTGTTGTCCTGCTGTGAAGTTGTGCTGCCCTGTGTACACCTTTGGTTTGAGCAGAACTTGCCTATCATTAAGGGCCATTAGAGTTCATTAGTGTCCTACAACACAGCAGCTGACATATGGGAGGCAGAACAGAGAGAGGTAAGATTCTGTTCCCAAACACCATCTAACAGAGCTTGGAAATCCTGTTTCTTTGGTCTAGGAGCACGCTGCCCTGGAAAAAGACAGTATCTCACACATTGCTTTATATCAATGGAGATCCATTTTACCAGAAAGCAAAAAAAAAAAAACCCAGCAGCTCAACTCAGCTGAAGAGCTGCAGTAAAATTAAGAAAATGCTTTTCTCATTCATCTTTTAATGTTCCCTCAAATTAGATGGAGAAGAAAGATAGTTACTGGCTTCACCCTCACCTTCTCCACCCTATCGTTTAACCACAGAAAAGACTGATTTATAACAACAGTAACTTCTGTACTATCAGACATCTACAAGTTTTCAGTCTGCAATTTTACCTCACATGAACAGATACTGCAGACTTAACATGCTTCCAAAAGTTAGAACCATTTTAATGAACTACTTCTAATGTGACTACACTTCTGAGAACACAGCTCTTTCAAATATGTTTTCAAGTGAAATAACACTTCTGAGATTAAAACACATATATTTTTTCCTGAAAACACAAGGGAATTATGCTTTAATTATTCTTAAGTATTTGAAAGCTGGTTATTTTCTTCTTTGAAATCTTTGACCCAAGCTTGGTTTAAAAAAATTAAAAAAGTAAAACTTAAATGCAAAACTATCCATTTGTGCATTTTTTGTTCGCAGTCATGTATGTCCTGCATTAGGATACTACTCCTCAGAGTAGGAATATCTTACATCATTTCACAAAACTTCAAAATGGAGCACCTATTCTTCTGATAAAATGTTTGCTTAGAAAAACCTCCTCTTTTAAGTGCAAGCTCCCTGGTGCCAATTTTGCCACCTTGATAAATATTTACAGATGAGTCACTATTCTCTGAGCAAAAGCTTCAGACTGAGAGCCTGACTGAAACATTGATAGTAACACACTATCTAAAATCACAGAATGCCTTGGGTTGGGAGGGACCTTAAAGATCACCCAATCCCAACCCCTGCTATGGCAGGGGCACCTGCCAAGGATGGGGTAGCCCACAGCTTCTCTGGGCAAACTGTGCCAGTGTCTCATCACCCTCACAAGAAAGAATTTATTCCTATTATCTCATCTAAATCTCCCTCTGTCCGTTTATAGTCGTTCCCACTTGTTCTGTCATTACAGGCCCTTGTCAAAAGCCCCTCTCCAGCTTTCTTGTAGCCCCTTTTTAGGCACTGGAAGCTGCTCTAAGATCTATTCATGTTTCACTTGATGACCTTGTATCTGCTACTTTTATGTGAAAATCAAATGCTTTTCACTATTAGATTCAATTTCTGTCCTATATTTCAAGCCACATCTAAACTCAGTGGCTGAGTTTAAAACAGCTAAATGCTCATGCTGTTGTGTAGAACGTTTCTTTATGAATCATACAGAGATGTCAGCACTATGGGTCCTGGGTAACGTTCACACACTTGAGCAACCTGAATCTTAAGGGACTTTTTGCTGGGTCTGTGAGAGCAAAACGATGCATTTAAATTGATTCTGTTCATATAAAATGCACACTAAAGACATTTTTTTATACTCTGATATACCTCAAAATCAGGAGATGAAACATCAAGTGTAATAAGGAATAAAGGGGGTCATGGACATTTCACCAAAACAAATATACTTTACTGTACACAAGATGGCATGCCATTTTTACATACACAAGGGTCAATGCCATTTTTAGCTCCATCTCTGACAATCCATATGGACTGTAGTGTCTCCACACAGCTATGTTACATGAGTGGCCTGTGCAGCTCTCATTGGTCCCTTAGATTTACATTCCAACACATTGTTTTGGTAAAACATTGGGGTTTAATGAAGGCTGGTTGGAGGGGGTTTCTAAGTGAATTGACAAGGAGAACTTAAGAACTGACATGAATAGTGTGAGGCCCACCACCATGAGATTCCAAGCCACCTATTTCACTCCAGTCATACCCCACTTTGAAAATGCAGGCTAAATTTCCATCACCTGTCTCATCTCAAGAACAAAACAATATTCAGACCAACAAGGTATCCTCATGTTGCTCTTCAGGAGGCCAAGGTCATTCCATATACACCAAGCTCAATCCCTTTGATTCAACTGGAGAGCCAGAGATGACAAACTGATTGCTTTGCACATCTATGCAAGTTAATGTTGGGGACATAAATCCCAACAGAAGTTGCATTCATAAAATGACCCCCCCTTACAGAAATGGAAAAGACCTTTCTCTCAGTCATGCAAGGTACAACTATAACAAGTATTGTCTTGCAGATCTGTGCACTACCTGGACTTTTCAGGTGTCAGAATGATTTACTTCCCTTACCTATAGCAGAACAAAAAGCAACAAGCTTTAAAACAAAGAAAAGCATTTATTCTTTTCTTTTTCCCCAGGTTTTAGAGTTTGAAAGACATGGCAGAGAAACCCTAAAGTTAAGGGAAAACAAGACAAGAGAAATCACGGCCAAATAGTTAACATTCTTACTATTACAGTTACAACGGTTGATGGACCAAAGGCAGGCTCCACATAATACAGTGAGGTATACAGGACATGACAAAGAGGGTTAGAGTGGACAGTAATACAAGTGTTACAGAGTAGAAAAATAAGTTGTACCCCCATGAGTATGCAGCCTGCTGACATGGTTACAAACAGCACTACTCTTGAAATGTGTTAAAACATGGTAATTAGCCTGGACTGTAGCATAGCTCATTTTCTTAGTGTTAACAACCAGGACTACAGGAAGAAAAGGTACAAAAAAACATGAAGTGCAAGCCAACATGAGAATACCTCCACAGTTTGTGGACAGACTGCCCCACTTATTGCAAAGGCATCGATGAGAATGACATCTCTCTCATGAGAATGTCATGAGAATGACATTCTCTCATGGTGTTTGGAAGGGTAACAAGATTACCCTTAGCAATATCAGAGTTAAGAAAGTGTGCAAGAACAGGCTGATTATCAGAATCAGCACAATTATTTTCCTGACTGAAAAATAGTTGAAAGCAACACAAACCAGTATCTGATGCCAAAAAAAGACAGGAATAATATCACTCCAGCATGGGATTCATCAGCCAGCTCTAAAATTTGAGCCCAAACATTACCGACAATCCTTTTAAAACAAAAGTTCAGTAACATGTTTTTGAAAAATTTGAATGCTTCTGCAATTACTGTTTGCATCCACATTACAAAGAAGTATCAGAACATGAAGGGAAAGGTCTGGCAGTCCTGCTGAGCAAGATGAAAACACAAGAGCTAGAAGACTCACAAAAACAAACAACCCCTCCCAACCCTGTTTTTTTTTTTGGGGGGTGGGGTTTTTCTACATTTGGAAAATAGGAAGGGTGTTCACGTGTTGAGGAAATTAACCCTACAGGTTTTGAGAGCTTCTTCTCAATAATTAGAATATTATTTATTCCTACTTGCTGGGGGTGTCCTCTCAAACTGGCTGAAATCAAAGGTACATTAGGGCAAAATTCCCTTCTGTTTTCTGGGGCAGCTGTTAGAGTTTGTGGTGGTAGGATACAAGCCATCCCTTTTTGGTACCTGCACCCACTGTGTGGCTGCAGGGGGGAGCAAGGGTCCCAGGAGGTGCCTTCACCATCCTGATACAGGAACCATGGGGATCCACATCCTGGCTGTGTGTGTTGCTGAGCCTTGGGCTATCTGGGGTGCACAGGCAGCATCTCCTCACTGTTGTCTGCAGAGGAGAGAGAAGAGGGATTGTGCCTGTGAGGTTCCCAGGGTGAGATCTGACAGAAGAGCCTGGTCTGGGGCTCTGGAGGCAGACAGAAGCACAGGTGTCCACAGCCAGAGTGCCGGAGGGAGGGTCACCTCGCCAGCGTGGGCCCAGATGGCACCGCAAATGGCTCTACCCTTGCCGAAGCCATGCCCACTGAGGCAGCACCTAAGGTCACAGCAAGGCTTGGCAGAGACCTTACAGAGCTTCCCCTCCCCCTGCAGTTGCTGGGATTTGAAAGGCTGGTGGGTTTGCAAACGACAAGCTGCTCTCCCCCACGCTGGGGAGGGCTACCTGGTGACCTTCCAGAAGACAGTGACCACCAGCCTTTGCCCTGGGGTGGGCGACCTACCTGATCCAGGCATAAAAGGAAAAAGCAAAACAAGACACAGTGGTGCTCCTCTACCTATCCCAAGAATTATAGGTGCAGGGTTGGTTGTTCCTTGCCTGGGAGGCCACCACAGCGTTGTCTGGCTTGTGATACATACCTGCAGCAGCCAAGAAGCATTGAACATGGGCTCGAAGGTGGCAGCTCTCACCAGCCAAGTGCTGTGCACCCAGAACAGAGTTAACACTGGTGCTTGTCAAGGAGCCTTGGGCAGTAAATATGGCAGCTGATTGCCCTGTTTAGATGCTCCCAACAGAACTAGCACTTTCTGCGTCATGCTTGAACATTATGTTTCTCATCCCCACCTTCTCCATCCACGCAAATGGCCACATACTGAAACATGTGCATACTGGTGGCACCCATGGATGGGACCAAGTGTCAGAAGGGCTTTGGGAGGGATACCACAGTGACTGTGGGAGTGGCAACAAATCTGATGGCATGTCACACAGTATGCCCCCCGAACAAGATTGGGAAACCCCAGGGATACTGTAAGGGTACCTCTCTCACCAGGATATGACAGGAGTCAGAAATTATGACCCTGTCTGGATCACCTATAGTTAAGGAAGCTTTGAGAGTGACATAGAGTGGCAGGATAGTCACACTCCTGCCCAGCACCACGAACTCCAGGAGTCTTTTGACTTAATTCTTGTATTATCTTTTTACAAGTTTCGAGAGCAGGAAAGCATGACCTAAATATAATAAATACAGTTATTTCACTCTGCCTGAAGCAAGAGAGAGGGTGGACTGCAGTATGCATCTCAGTAAAGTATTAATATAATATGAGGTTTACCAGCTCAGCTAATAAAAGCATTCTTCATTCTTGCCCTTGAATCTAATTTGTTGTTGAGACACACTCCAAAGGTTGAGCATTTCAGCTCATTTAAGGAGTTATGACTCAGCACCGTACTGGAGCTCCCATATTCCAAAAGACTGAACATCCCTGTTAATCACTGCTTCCCAGCAGATCCAGAGAAGGAATACCATAAAATTGCTTAGTAAACAGTGCATCTGCATTGAATACAGACAAAAGGTCAATCTGAAATATTTGGAAGTAACTTTTAAATGAAAAGGCATTAATTTTTACTACACATTTCCACGAAAGCTTTTTCTGCTGCTATTATGGTGTACCTTCCTGGGATAAACATGTGGTTTACAGCATCTACATTACGATGTATAACTTGTAGCACTCACACTTTATGCTGTAAGACATGAGCAGACACTTTTTTTTTTCCTCCACGATCTTCTTTTGGATGTGATTTCTTAAGGCTTGTCTACACGGGGGAAGTTCAGCAGCACAGCAATTCTGGGCTAACTACTCCGTGATAGCTCCCTGTGGACACTTCATTGCAATAAAAAAAAAAAAAGACTTTATTTGGGAATAATTACTCTGCATTGTGAGTGGAATAATTATTCTAGAATAAAAACCAGCCCAATTCCAAGATAAAGTGTATGCACCCATGCAGGAGGTTTTGTCTGTTTGTTTGGGGTTTTTACCCCAGAGTATGAATACTGTACGAGAACAGCTGGAACTGTTTTCCCCTGGAATAGCTATGTTAGGCCATTTTTCCTTATAGGTAAAGTTATTGTATCAAGTTAAATGAAATATCTTTCATCTGGATTCTTGTTAGTTTGAACTGCAGATTTTCTCAGTCCAAAATATTTGTGTTGGCAGCCAGTAGCAGGCTGATGGGCCTTTTCTTGACATGTTTATTTCCATTCCTTGGTAAGAGGAGACTCTTCCTCCTCAGCATACTTTTCAAATACAAAGTTTCTAGCTGGAAGCTGAAGTGTTACAGATTTTATTCTGTGGGATCATGATGGAAAGTATCTTCTTTTTTTGAACATCTCTAGCAAAAGAAAAGAATTTTCTCTGCCCCATAATTCCAGAAGAGTGAAATTGTGACTGGCAAATTCTTATCTAATAGTGTTTTTTCTCTCCTTTCTCCCTAAATGCAGCTGGCTAGTTATTTTAAGCACTTAGGTAATAGACAAAGATCAGAAAAGGCCATGATGGTTTGCCTGTTTAAGCAAAGCTGAAATAGCTTTCCACCTGGCCAAGATGCAGGCCAACCACAGGCATCTCTCTGGTCTTTTATCACTGATCTTTCTCCAAGTTCACTCAACCATCCCTTACCTCCTGTATTTATGACCTCTCCTGCCTTTGTATTTTAACTGGCTCTGCTCTCAGGCTGTGGGTGGAGTGAAATGTGTAAAACCACCTGCCCATGATGCTGTGTTTCCATTCACCTTCAGGAAAAAAGGGTTTATTCAGTAATTAAAAACTTTTTTTTTTTTTTTTTTGCCTTTAGTTGTGTCTGAGCATTCCTAGCAGAAACATAAGTCATGCAAACAAATCCATTCCTCATTCATCTTGCTGGCCTGCCTTTCCCTTTTCAAGACATGTAATTCTGTTTGAAGATGGTCTACAGGGTCCTTAGTCCTGTCATACCATGGCCTTTCATTTCCCTCCTTGCCCTTTAGTATTTTTAAGGATATCTGGCAGCCAAGGCTGTTTCAGATACAGAATGTTTCATGATACTAACAGCATTTAATGCACAGTGCGGTGATGATATTTAAAGCATCACAAGAACCATAAGGAGTTAAATACAACTGCTTCTGTATGAATCAGCTTTATGTGCAGATAAATTGCCAGGCAAAGAGCAAACTGCAAATGTTGCTCCTGATTCTGTGTACACCAGCATTTTTGGTAATTTTTAAACATTCCATATTATCTTTTAAACAACAGATGGTGTTAATAAAATTATAAACCACACCCCATAAAATGCCAACCAGCAATAGCATTTTTCACGGAAATAATACAAGGTATAATATTTCCGCATTAATGAAAAGCTGAGCATGAAAAACATTCACATTGCAAAAGATAAGACCCAAAATACTCCTTTTCATTTCTTGTTAATGCAGCTTCAGCATTTTAATTAGTATCAATTACTGCGAATAGAGTTCTGGATTTGTTTTAACTTGTTCAAAAGTTTCAAAAAAGAAAGTTTTTATTTGTTTTGTGTTAGTCTCACTGCAAGTTCAGATGTGCAATATGGGGGGGGGGAAGGATCTTCTTTAAGACATAGTTTGCTTTGAATCAGTTAAAATGAAAGAGATGAATGACATGTTAAGTTTTCTGTGAGCTCCGAGTATTAAATTACTTAATAAAGAAAAGTTAAATTTGGCAATGCTTGGTGAGTA